CCATTGAGACAATTGCGTTAACTGAAAAACCCAAGTTCGAAGTGTGTTGCAATTGCAAGACCATGTGCAATTCCCAATGCATTGTCCCTCCATTCATCCAACCTTCCCAATAGTACTTAATGACTGGCACGATGTCGCCCTAGTACTACATTTTGAAAAGGACTTTCTCCTTCTGACCCAGCTGCGTGCCATCTTTTGGGGTCAACAAAAGTAAATGCAAGGCTGCATGATTGCGTGTGATGATTGGTCAAGAACAGGCATGGCATGTCTTGAAAGCTCCGTATCGTCTGTAATGCTCCCATCATGCGCAAAACATGTGCAACTCAGTGGCCCTGACATTATCTTTGTCTTTCCAAAACACCCTGCGTCAAACATGTCCAATACTTGCATAATGCGCAGTGTTTTTGTTGCTATTTGGCTATTTGCTTGAGTGTTTCAAGAATAGGCAGGTGCAACCACCAACTCTCACAACCACCACTTCTGGTTTTATACATCATCAAGCGGTTTTTTTGTACTCAAGTTCTTGGGTCCAGTACGGCGGGGAGATCTGGTAGACTGCACCCCTTGCCACCTGAGGCACTTGATACAAGTTCCAGTTCGGAATTAGAATTTCAGTCTTTGCCTTCCTCTTGCAACAAGTTGATGGCAATTTGCAATTCACTTTGACTGTAAGCTGCTGTTTTGTTGAACCACGAATACCGGAGATGAAGGATGCTATTGAGAGTTCCAGGCAGGACCGGACTGCTCCTCGAAGCTTAACACCTCGCTATCTGTGGCGGCCGTGGCAATTGTTCAATCAAGAAAGTGAATGGACAGCAAAGTGTGGTCGCCCGGAACTCGGAATTCGATATTTCATGTCATGTCTGAGTGTGTTCCTCCAGAATCCGGTTTTGAACCAAACATAACTTCAATGACGGCTCACACAGAGACAGGTTGCAGTTGTGTCCGACAAGATGAAGATCTCACAAGCCTTATGCCCTGTCAAAACCACCTGCATTTAACAAAGTGTGTGAAACCTGGCCTGGATTTCCATACACCTTTCGCAAGCCTCACAGAACCCCAGCCTGGACATCTTGTGACAAATAAGTGTGATTCTCCTCAGTGATTCAACGTTTTCTGAGCAGCCTGGATTCATCTGGTGCTATACTCCCGAGTCTCAATCCGCTCGCGTAAGACTTATATCAATCGTAAGTCTGACCCCACGAGTCGCTGGTGTCTGCAAGGAACCAGTCGGCTGTTCTGTACATCAAGACCCTTTTTGACCTCTGAGCCTCACATATCGCAGGATTGGTCGCAAATGTCAATAAGATTGACGCTGTTGACCCTGCTAGTGCCGAATCCAAGCTTCTGAAAGATTGGGAAGGCTGAAGCTAGTTGACAGCTTCTTTTCTCCTGCCAAGACGCTGAGGTCACTGTACAGTGCTCCAGCCATTTCGGAAGTGGCAAGTTTTCGACACATTCGGAAAAGGAGAAAAGGAACAGAAAACATACCAAACACAACAAAACACACTCGTCCTACATCCCTGTCGTTGTGAAAGTGGAAGTACTGCTGTCTGAGTGACCTTGCCATGGGGCAAATAGCTGTCGGGAAAGTCTGCGTCTATTGTCTCGAGGTTTCAATGCGTGCATTTCTGGCCCAAAAAGAGATGCAGGATCTATACATTTCGAACATTGCAAGTTGCACCTCTACAATCTACAAAGCTTGGCGTTGTAGTGTTAGAATCCGAACACTTTGGAAAAGACAACATGAAACTCTCTCGTCAGCTTGAATCCTGCCACCTCAAAGGCTAATTAGTACCTACTTCAGCATGTGCGTTTTGCGTAGTTGAGTACCTCCAGGTGACCTACGTGTCCTTACTTTGCAAAGCCACCGGTTCATATGTCACGGTGCGTCACGTCATGTCCCAATTATCGGCTGAGAAGTACACGGTGTAGGCAAGCGATGTGGCAGCTTGTGCTCGCTGAGCATGAGGTCATTTCAAGATCATGCTCGCTGAGCGCAAGAAGCAACTCTGCTGATTGAAGGTCTCCTTCAAGTTTGCTCCTTGCTGACTTTAGTCCTTGTTTGAGAAAGCTTCAAGTTTTCCAATACTTTGGGTGGGAGTCCTGGCTAGCAAGCCTTCCTTTGTAACTGAACCCCGGTTCGATGTCTGGCGTCATTCTGTGCTTCCTCATGGCTTCGTTCGGCACATCTTGCCAAGCTCCATCCAAATAGGACAGCGGCAGTGATCAACACAGTGGTTTAGCGTTTTAGCATCCCACAAAAACTGTTTGATTCAACTGTAACAGTCTGCAGAATTTTGTCTGGTAGACGCTTCAATTGGGAACTGCCCTTTAATGTCATGCTCCGCATGATGATAGGTAAATCTGCAAAAGGTCTTGCACTAGGTCACTAGCCAAAACATGTATATAAGCACTGTAAAGGCTATCAACGATTTTGTGGGCTTGGCGACAAGTGCCTTGAAGATTGTTTGCATGCTCAAGTGGAAAAACACCCGCCACATCAAGGGAAATTCATGCCAGGGTAGAAGCAAAGCTCATGGACTCATGGATGACTGTCTACTATACCGATGTTCAACATTCTCGCCAGTCAGTCAGTCGAACCTAAGTTGCTCCTGTTGCTGGCAGCGCGTTCGAAAGTCCATCAGTTTGGATGCCCTCAAGACTCATCTCTCACACTTTGGCATGCTCAGTTACCATGCCTTCTTCTCCATATCAACAGCCTGTGTTAGCCTGTCCTGCTCCATTCAGGCAACTACAAACATGCAAATTCTGATGTGATTCATCTGAAGTATTGGTGCTCGTGTGCAATGCCCTCTACGTCTCAATTTAATAGAAATCAGGATTGCCCGAATGCTCCAAGTCTGGAATATGTCCCATTGAGTGTTTACATGGTAGTTTCTCTCCCAAACTGCACTACGATGCGAGGGATTCGTTTTGTCTTGTACCTGTACCTGTCCTGGCCCTGATTTGCCATGGCTACCAGCTGTGGCTTTGTTTTTTTGCGCTAGCACTTGCAGCAAAAGATTAGGCTGACAAATGCTAATGATATGCGCCAAGCAGGCTGGACAGCTCTGCATGTTACATTGTAATGACATATATATATATATATAATATTGTAACATATGCCGCTGCCTAGACATTTTGCCTGCAAACACGTGTGCTAAAGTCTATTGCCTGTCTCGTGCCAACTGCCTGCCCATCCTTCTAGGGGTTCCAAGGCGAAGGCCAAATCCTGTATCCAAGCGTCCAAAAGAAAGGACACAACCCCAGCATTTTATCCTTACAACTTGACAACAATAAAAGAGAGGTGCAGAAACTGTCTAACGGAGTTGTTGCTGCATCTCAAAGCCTACAATCTGCGGAGACATTGTGACAGCCAGCCATGCAGGGAATACCTGGAACACTGATTGACACTGAAAAGAATCCTGTACCAGGCTCACAACTTTCCATTGAAATCTCATGAATCCAAACAACCCCAGAGGAAGGCCTTCAGTGCTTGATTGATCCAATAAAACACCCTTGAGCACTTTTGTAGCTCTTGACTTTCAAGTCAAAGAATTGCAAGTAGGGAGTCGTACGAAGGACATTGATGTCCAATTCAAAATCGGCCAAGCTCCACAACGTTGTCTGCTGCACTTCGCAGGCTTCTTTTCCACCAGTGACGTTCGCCACGTCGCGTGTCTTTGTGCATTGCACGTCCAGGTCCCTGCCGGCGAATCTCAAAGTCCCCTTACAAAAAAAACATGTATGTTCCTCTTCAAGAGTGACAGCACCTTGACTGAAAAGCAGCAAGAACACTCCTGGCGAAAAAGCTAGAGGTTCCTAATAGAGAACGGCTCACACATACCCTGGCCGTTATGCTAACTGGCAAGAAACAGCACTACTGCGCTAACACCACCCAGCGCCTTTGGAACTTGGAACTTGTGACTGTCTGCCGTTGCCTTGTGTTCGGCCCTGGGCCCTTTCCTTCGTGAGGTTGGAATCACCTGCAGGAACTTCAGAAATGACAGTGCAGGAATTGACTGACACGGTGCACTAGGAAAGTACATGTCACGTGGTCCTGCTATGCATGAGTCAAAACATCCCTGTCCAAACGGGGTTTCCATGGGCTCACGGCTTGGAAGTTCTCTCACTAAACACCTTCGTCAAAAAGTGGCATTAAACAAATGCTTATATTCTATAGCAATCTTTTCTATAGTAGCTAGTCGTTTTGACTCCAGAGTCTCGTGTAAGCCCGAGGCATCGAAGCTGGCTGCAAGCTGTAGTCTCGTTACCTTCCTATATTTGTGCAATCCAGCCACCTCTGCTACCGGCTGTCAGTTCCTTTTGCCTGTTCCTGGAATTGAAGGGGAAGCAGGCCCGCCCTTCATCTCTTGAAGCACCAGTCTGAAAGTGCCTTATCCACTTCTGAACTTGCCCAGGATGTGCAATGAGCACACTATTGCCATGAAAACCAAGGAAAGCACAAGTACCTCACCCAGCAAGGATTCTGACATATCGTCAATACTGTGGCACTGGTTCATTGACTCTCTGCGAGCAAAAGTGCTCAAAGAATAGTTGTAGACCCTGATTGGGCACTGTGGTGGGACCCACTTTCAATCCAGGAGAGTCGTCCGAATAGAACTTCAAAATGCCACCTGGCAAGCAAAATTGCCATGTTGAAAGTGCGGCATTGCTTATCAGCACAGCACAGCACAGCAAAATATGTTTTTTTGCAAACTTGAGTTGGTGGCAAAGGATTCCAAGCAGTCCCCTCCCTCCAACTCATCGTGTTCACACTGATCCATATCACCCTATGAATTACACGGCTGATTGCCTGATCCAGTTAAAACATGTTGGAACGTAGGCGTGCCTCCTCCAGAGGCCTTGCGCCCACCGCTGTTTGCCCCTGAATTTGCTCCCGCGCCGCTCCTGTCTCGGACGCAGGAGGTAGAAGAACAAGAAAGGTGTATTTCAGCTTTCTTGAACTTGTTGCTTCAGGCTGTCTCAGGCTTTGTGTGGTCACTCGTATGACAGTATGATGGTCTCACATCATCTTGAGATACTGCATGACACATGCTGAAAGTGTAGCAAGATTGGCTCACTCCCATTCCAGATAAGCAAGTCGTGAGTGACCGTTGGGACTTCCCTGATCTACCAGACCGAGACAGCGCTAGCCTGAAAAGTGCTTTGCGCGACTTAGGCTATTGCCAAAAGGACACACGTCACGCAAAGGTCACGGCAATCAGGTTGCTTCCCTATCGACAGCTCACGTACAGTATCTCCTGGTGTTGGACCGTCGAGCCAAGGCTGTGCGTGACTTAGTGAGAAAGAATTGGCATTGTGAGGAAACTGTGAGGGTGCTAATCTAAAAATTTCTTCTAAGTCGTGAGTTATCTCAAAAAAGGGTACATGTTATCACTCCTAGCCCAAACCCCCTCTTCCCCAAAGCAGTTCACGGCTTTTGGCGACAACTCCAAGGGGTGGTGCCAGGCTGGGAGCACCTCACCTGGCACCAACCCCGGTCCCCTAGACAGCCATCCATTGGGATGGTGCGATAGATTCCTCTTCGCGCTTTCACCACAGCTCCCATCTGGGGCGGGTGGGCAGGGTGCAAGCAAGGATGCGGCTCCTGAGCAAGAACACCTGTTCAAAACAAAGGGTACCACCTGAACACAAGGAACAACATGTTCAACCGGAAGGGGATTGGGATGTGGAGTGTTTCCCTTATGCAAAGTATCCCTGCAACGTTCCCTTGACAAACAATGGTTGTGAACATGTAAGCATATTTACAAGTTAAACTTTGTGAAAATTCGATTCAAGTCATGTCAGCTGTCCTTGGTGAGCAGCTTGTCAATGGGATCATCTGGGCAACCCCACTCCTCCCACAGAGGCTGCTGCCGTGCCACGTCCTGTGGAGCTGCTCTCTGCCATGGTCCTCGCGTTCGTTGCATGGTGACCGCTGGTGACACATCGAACCATTCTGATGATTGTTGAGGGGTTCAAAGCTTGGCGTAGTGAAGATCTTCAGCTGCTTGTTGACTGACTCTTGCACGATGACAAAAATGCCTTAGTGCTGCCTGGTGCCAGGGACAGGACTCTTTGAGCCAAAATAGCCCACAAGCTCTTAGGGTGGGAATTATGCGGACCTTGTCAGCAGCTACGATAGCAGAATAGCCTCTATCCATTGTATAATACATCGTCTACACAAAGAATAAATGCAAAAACATACTGACATAAGCAGCAGTGCAAAAGCTTGTCCAGGCAAGTGGCATCAGGAGGCGATTCGCAAGGGGCTGAATCCAATATATATATATAGATACCATAAATATATATATATAGAGATGTGTGTTTTCTTCCACATTGCCATTGTGCAAAAGCTTACCTTGCTAGATCCCACAACTTGCACCCTTGCGCTCAACATCCACAACACCTGACCTACCCCTTGCCACCTCTTCATGGCTGGTATAGGAAGGATTGAAGAGGTGAAAATAACCTCAAAGATTGAAGCGGTGTAGTGTTGGATGGTCCTTATGTTTAGCCTTCACCCATCATTTGGTCTTCCTTCTTCGACGTAGGACCTGTGAGATTGCTGCTTGTGCAACGTCGTTGCTGGCATTGCATCTGTCAGGCTTCACCTACTCCAGAGCTATGTAAAATGATATGTGTTGTTTTCGTTGTTTAAACTTTACACTATATATATAGTTTAAAAACAAAGTATTATTTTCGAAAGTATATTCGTGAGCCCTTCACCTGTTCAATCGTGTGGCAAGTCCGATGGAACCCACTCAAGATACTTCCAGTATCTTCCAGTCCACTTCCGGTGCTTCTCTTTTCGCCTAACTTTGATCAGCCACCCCAGGACGGAGCGGAGAGTCAGGGAGATATGCCTTGCAGCAGGCTCTCTGAATCAGCAGAGTAAAGTACTACTACAACAGTGGCTTGCAAGAATAAAGCTTTGGTTCTTTCCTAATTTACTAATGACGTTAGCACAAGGAGAACTGGAAATTTTGAGTTGCTAGCAGCGATTAAGTCTTACAAGAAATAAGCATGACACCTACAGTGACGATCCTCACAAATCAGGGGAGCTGTGGATCGCAACAAACCTACTAGCAATGGCCTCCAACCTACTAGCGATGGCCTCCAACCTAATAGCGATGGCCTCCCACATCATATGCCACATACTACACGCTTCTGGGAGTTTCACAAGGCAATACATGCATCGAACACATCAACATATTCTATCGACGAGGTAGTGCGCACCACTCGTTCCAGTAGGAGTCGGCATGACTTCTCCAGGCGGATAACCTGTTTGGAAAGCTTGCGAGCGAATCATATATATATATATGACAACATATGTATCATGCCACACATGCTGTTCAATGTTGTTCACACATGTCAATCTTCTGCCAACCCAAAACCTGCATCCTCAGACTATCCGGTTTGTCCGTTAAGGAAGGTGAGGTCATACGCCGCATACGCCTGAGACTTTCGAAAGCACGTGGGAAGCCGCTAGTGGAAAAACTTTTACAGCATAGTGCAGCATGGGATCATTGGCCTCGACTAGTAGGCGTTGAGCTGGCACCAGTTTTGAACCTGAAAACGATGGCATTCATCTCAACTCTTTTGAGGCGAAGCTCTTTCTAGCAGCCAGGGGCGGCAAAAGTGTTCCTCTAAGAAGTAGAAGTCGTCATCTTTATCCAGCATGGCAGGCCAGTGTATGTCATCCATCGATTTCATCGCACCCATTGTCTCGACCGCTGGTCCGCTTGATGGAGAGCTTGGTACCATGTGCATTGAATTTGTGCAGAACAAGATCTTGGGCCCCGTGCAAGTAGATCCGATCCGTCTTGCTATAACCAATTTTCGCTTGGGGTAAACTGTCTGCTCATATGGAAATTCAGTAATTGCAGAGTGAACAAATGAATCTTCTTTGCACTTCTTCGGAAATCTAATTGCGAATAGGAATCCACATACAATTACATTCATTGGCAAGCTAAATAATCCAGTCTTGAGACTTATCGCTGAGTCTGGGGCCATTCAAGCGAAGATAAAGGCCCACAAGCAAGCTATCAGCTGAACGGCGCCAAACCTACCCGAGACATTTCCAAGCATATATATATATATGTGTGTGAGATGTGCGTAATTAATCAGTTTAGCTTGGTCGAATCTCAATAGCAAATATGTTCTCAAACATGCCTGCTGTCCAACTAAGCCGGCCCATGGCTAAAGGTAGTTTGCAAAGGGGCAAATACTTTAGTGCAAATTTCAATGTGTAGTATGCAAATTGTGATTGTGTCCTTCAAGATGTGTACAGTGATAAACTCGTTTAACTCTTCTTCTTGTCCTTCTTCTTATTGTTCTTCTTCTGGTTTTTCTTCTTCTCTGTTCTCGTTCTTCGTCTTCATCTGGCAATAAACGCGCATCCTGAGCGACCAGCCTGGGCAAAGTGGCGTTCTGCCTTCTCCCTCTCAGGCCCAGAACTGCCACATAGGCGTTCTGCCTCATGCATACAAAATCATACAAAATATGCGAGCAATGGGCCCTGGACGCTACTAGGAGCAAAGGGCATCGCTACTAGGAACAAGGACGCTACTAGGAGCTTTTTCGCGCCCAGGCCCTTTGGTCCCACGTCTCCAATCCCAAATTAATCCTCTTCAGAAACAGTGCACGAGTCATTGTCCATGGTAGGCCTGAACCTGCATACCGCTCATAAAAGGTCATTCCCTGGGGTTTCATCCTCTTCAATGTTACTCTTGCAGAAATAGATGCTGGGCACTGCCTGTGCCAGCAACAACCAGGTATATAAAATGTTCCAAAAGAGTCATATCTTAGCACAACCTCAACCTTTGTCAGCTAGTTACTAGCGTAATAATTAGTAGGGCTAGAAAACATGTACGTAACAATTTAAACACATAAATCATATACTAAATGCAAAGCCCAGCTCTGAGCTGGTGGAGCTGAGCCTCGCGGAGCCAGCTGGCAAGCACCACCAGAGCCACTTGCGAGAGATGAAGGTGGACATCCTGGACATCCCACGGTGACACGGCCTGTCAACGACCTGTAACACAACGACCTGCAAGCAGCTTCAGACACTGGAACAATCAATGCAATGTAAATGGCCTCCCAAGAAAAAATGAACTTATTAAGGTCTGGAGTCTGCCGGTTATACTATTGTTGGAGTGGGTTGTCTAACACTGCATCATGTCTTGTCATCCGTTAACAATGTCGTTCCTTTATGATCTCACATATTGCATAGCCCCTTTTCACACGATTGCTTTGCTTGTGGGTTGGATGCCGGCCGTTGAAACAGTCCCAAGGACATTCACCCCATCATAGAACTCGGCTCAATGGAATGAATCATGAAACTTCATGAAACATATATACCTGAAACTACTTCGCAAACAACCCACCTCTTCAGATGGCCAAACCCACTGCTTTGCTCGCAGGTAGGCTGGAAGCCTTTCCTGCACTGGATCAAGAGCAGAAGAGACTGTGGCCCGCAGCCTATGAGTGAACCCCCAAACAAGCAAGTAGATGGACACTTCACAGATTGGTGCACATACATGAACCCATGTCGAGTCTCAACCCGCCTCTAGATCTTTGTGCCAAACATGGAGCTGGGAAATCATCTCAGCCTCGAGAGCCATTCAACCCCACATGGTAAAAAGGAGGAAATGGGGAGACAAACGCTGGGGTTGCCCTTGTGCCAAGTATTGAAGCTGTCAGCTTCCAACCATCTCAGCAGAATTGTCCACCAAAGGCTGCTTTGCAAGGACATGTCCGATCTCTTGTGGCAGTCAAGTGACATAAAACGTAACCAGGTCTGGCAGCGACAGGTTGAAGGGCTCCTGGGACAAAACCTCCATGGCCACCTCAGCATCAGGTGCCTGACTGGCTTGTCTGTTTGGAGCACCGTGGAAAACTCTTGCCTTTTACTGACGGTGATACTTGTGACAGCCATACTGGGCCATACTGCCTATGGCCTATCATCCGACTGGATGATGGCACAAAGGCATATACAAATGAGCAGCTTCGAAAACCCCTATTACTTTTTTGTATAATCCAGGTTTGCTTTCGCAGAGCTTTCGCGGAGCTTTCGCGGTCTGCATTCTGGCTTTCGCGGAAGGTGTGGTGTTATGTGGGGCTTTCGCGGCGGCTTTCGCGGCGATTCGTTTTCGATTGGGAAATTCGATTGGGATATTGTACAATAAAGTGATATTGTACAATAAAGTGATTGATCTATATAAGTTATCCTTAGGGTGGTCAAAACTAAACAAATTTCTTTCCGGCAACATCCTGGCACAAGGAGTTGTAGCAGCACCGTTCAAGTATTATTGTTGTCATGAGAAGAGAAGGAAAACTTGCTGAAGCTTTTTGCTGGGGCCAGATACCTTTCCCGGATATTTTCGACTTTCGCGGTTCTTTCGCGAGGCTTTCGCGCGGCTTTCGCGGAAATTCGTCTGGGCTTTTCGATTTTCCCCTGAAACACTTGCTCTTCAGTGCTGCTGCTGCTGCTGCTGCTGCTGCTGCTGCTGGCTGGTCTGCTGCGGCTGGCTGGCTGGCTGGCTGGCTGGCCTGCTGCGGCTGCCTGCATAAAGATATGGTCACCCACATAAACAACACGACATGCACAAGAAATTCGACTTTCGCGAAAGCTTTCGCCACGCTGTTCTTCTGGGGTTCTTTCGCGGGGCTTTCGCGAACCTTTCGCGATCTGCGTTTTGGCTTTCGCGAAAGAATGTGAGATTACAGTTTGCATACTTTTCATCATAGAGGTTTTTGAAGCTGCTCAAATGCTCTGCAGGTTAGCTAGTTGATTCACTCACTTGGACTTTCAAAGCTTTCAAAGCTTTTGCATCGTTGTGAGTGGAGATGACTGTGGCATCCACTTCCCAGTGTCTTCACAAAACTGGGGGTCAATACCCACAGGCAAGTGTGATCGATGAGGGGCGGCCCTGCAGAAGCATCTCCTGCAACAGGACAGTACCCGCATTAAGTTTCCCTAAAAATCTAGGAACCAAATGATTAGTGCGAGTGCTGCGAGTGCTATCCTGCGTCATACCTAGGAGCTAACTTAGCCTTTACTTTATTAAGTAGGCGCCTACTTAATAAAGTTGTAGGGGGCAAAAGTTGCCTATTTCAAAAAACAAAATAAGAATAAACAAAATCATGGATCGTTTCAACATTGGCCAATGCTGTACAGGCATTGTTTGCCAGGCCGAGCCCCTCCCCTGGACTGGCAGAAAAAAGTTTTTGGCCCATCATCTGCATCGTGGAAGAATGTTGGAAGTACAGAACTCCCCTAAATAGCTATTGCGATGTTTATATATATATAACTATAGCGTTCATTCTATTAATCTGTCAATCTTGAGGTAAGGCTGTCATTTCCTTTCCGGTGCCTGGCCTTCTTCCCTACCGAAGTGTGGGGCCTGCCATACTGGTTCAGCTTCAGCTGCAAAGAAACCAACGTGCAGCTTGGCAACTTGTGCACCTTCTGATCCCAGAAATATGCAGTGCGAATGCTCAAGATTGCTCCAGCTTAGCTAGGTACCTGTTAAATGGATGCTGAACGGCTTTACATCAAGTACTGTGAACACCAGCAAGCCTTCACTTTCCAGCATCACATCTATATATATATACACAATATAAACTGGCAACCCAAACTGCTGAACGTGCTTCCCAATAAACTTCACAATGCGTGTGTCTCATCTTGGACCTCCTTCTGGTTTTGCAGCCACAGGCAGTTGCTGAACTCTAAAAGCGTTCCAACCTCGAGGGGATTGCAATCAGGTGAGCTGTTCCAAAAGCTTGTCTCAAATCTGTAATACTGGTCTACTGCCTTATTACTTTTTTTTTAACCATGTCATGGTAGTGAAAAATGCCAAGACCACAATCTCTGATGTTCGTGCTGTTTGGGAAAAGCTTGCATGTCCTGGCATCCCGGCACACCTGGTTGCCCACAGGTGGTGATTGTCCGAGGCAACCTGTACACATTCATTGGCGGCTGGTCAAGTCTGAATTGGGTCAGACTGGTGCAGATCTGGCAATGGAGTGCACACTGAGCTTCAATCTTTTTACTGGCGAGGCTATGAAGCAAGGTGCAAATCCAAACTAAGTGGTCCCAAATCCGGGGAAGCTGCGCATGATGTGAAAAGGGGTTCCTGGATAACTATAAGTTACCAGGAGTAACAAGAAGCTACTAGTAACAAGTGCATCGCTTCTAGTAACAAGTGCCTTACTAGTAGTAACAAGAAGCTACTAGTAACAATAGTTACTATAAGTTACTTTTAGTCTGAAGAGTCTGAAGAGTCCGCTGGGACTTTGACCTCCCTGAGCTCGTGCAGGAAGGCCACCATCCGGTTTCGAAGCAGGGTGGGCTCCACCGTCCAGGGCGGGGCCGCTACGTTGGCCTGAGCGAGGGAACAGGTGCAACAATTGTTGGTGTTGAATGTGTGTGACACCATAACATTCTTGGCAAGATTTCCACCGACAAGCGGGCAACAAATCGCCACACACCACCTTGTTGGGGAGAATTCTCAAAGGCTTGGTGTGCTTCAAGGAACTTGAAGAATTCAATTCAGAAACGAACACCCTGGCGTCTTGGCCTGATACTATTTATTTCCTATGCTTTGCTAGTTGGCTCCGAGGCTTTGAGGAGTCAGGAAATGCAAAGGCCTCCAAAGCTGGTCACTTAATTTGTGCTCCTAGTAGCGATGCCCTTTGTTCCTAGTATATAGCTTCTTGTTCCTAGTAGTCAGGCCAGGAGCTACTATATAGTAGCATCCTTGCTCCTAGTAGGGTCTGATTGATCTGCAATAATCAAGTCGGGAGGTTCCTCTCCATGTGAACCCAATGTACAGCAGTTCGTGAAAATTATTCCGATTCATTTTCTTAACAGTACTGCCAAGTTCAATACCTAATATGATGGTGAACCGCCTTGCAATGGTGTTCGCAGCAATGAGACTCTGGCAAAAGAACCTGTGATGCAATGTCTTAATCTTTGGGGCGAAACTTCATAGACCCACAGATCCCACAGTATTGTTGATGAACCAAAGCATTTGTGCAACATCCCAGCCTGCTTCGACAAAAAGAACTCTCTATGCGGTCGAAGCATAAGCAAAGGAAAAAGGTCCTTTGGAGACGCAGATGCCTGGCAACTGGGCTGTGTCCGTGTGGATTGGGTCAAACCTCCAGTCCGTTCTTCAAAAGCGTGGGAAAAGAATGCAAGTCCGCAAAGGAAACCTCCCTGCCTGCTCAAAGTAGAGGCATTCACCAGGAGGAAATAACAAGCTAACCCACCTTAGCAGTGCATTTAAAGGACTTTCGCCCACCACACTTCCAACGAACGAAAGGGCATTGCAGTACTTCTAACACGGATGTCCGGCAATCAAAAGGCCGGTCCCTTTTTGAAGATGTTCACAGGGGAGTCATGAGTGCCTTGCTGGCAATAATTCAGTAGAGCAACATCCGTTAACATATTTGATCGAACAGCTGTATTCTTTTTGCCAGAGTACGCACTACTGAGGGGAGGACAAGGTTGTTGCAACATGATGAGCCATCTTCACTCCTTGAAGGATTCGGCAAACATCTTGCGAATTGAACCAGCTTCAGGCTGGCAAAGGAAGTTGAAAGCCATTGCGCAGCCTAAGGACATAGCACCATGTTTGACTAGAGTTTAGAGTAGATTTCCCCTAAAGATCCCTAAAGCAAAACGACGCATTCCAAACTGCTGTCTTCGCTGGCAACTTGGGAAAGGAAAGGGTTCTGTTGTGTTAATTTCACTTTGGAAAGTGTTCCAAACCCGCGCCTGAGAAGCCTGCGATTGCAAGCTGCAAATGCCCAAATCCGAACTCTTCAGCTATCTGCACAGCACAAAGCAAGGTGCAAAGATTCTGAGTTCATGAGAGATGGCCTCCAACCTAGTAGCCATGGCCTCCAACCTAATAGCAAACTATATTAGACCTTATTTTTTCAGCAAAGCCTCATAGAGCTCGCGGACACCCTGCAACTGATGCAGTTCGCGGCAACGCTTCTTCGCAGCCATGCGCCTGCAGAAAACGATGGTGAGAGCTGTGAGCTGAGTAAATTTGCAAAGTAACACGGGCTAACTCACAACTCCAGTTGGTGTACAGCTTGCTTGCACTTGCAAAACACCATCCTATTGGCCTAGATCAAACATGCATGGCACGTGCGAACCACATCTGGTTTTGTGCCAATTCTAGGTTTTACACCTGTTTCAAAATCTCTTGGAACTGCACATATTTAAAGAGAGGAGCTGGTTCTTCAGTGCAGCAACTTGCAACTATCTCTGCTTTCACCAGTTAGACATACAAAATCACCAATGACTTTTTGCTGTTGCTCACATACAATCATGTTATACACTCATGCAGTACCATCTACGCTCACTTCGCTACCTCACCTGTCTTCTCGGTTGGTGTCTACTGCCAGCTCTTGCAGCTCATTGAAGAGAGGGAACTGGAGTTGTTCGGCCTTGGAACACTGCGCAAATGATGCAACGACATTAAATAGTAAAAATAATAACGGAGCTTCGAGGCTGGATGATTCAATGCATGATTTATTTCGCACATGCAATCAAGACGCTTTGAGAACAACTACGAGTGTGTCGTCTAGGGACATCACACAGCTCAATCGGACAGCACAATCCTCGGCAGCTGTGCCGGTTTTTCGCTCCTGGGATAGATGGAATGGCAAGAGTGTGAGCAATAAAGATCTGCTTGGTTGCAAAGCTTGAAGAGTTCCAAGAACTGCAAAACGTAGCACTTGAAGCCTTGAAGTGAGTGGCACCAATTGTAATTTATATAGTCGAAAACAAACAAATACGTCAAAGAACGCGATCGAGGCCGCAGCAGTCACAAAAAAGACTTGGGAGAATTGGGCTACTGTTGCCGCGGGGCTCTGAGTTCATGGATGGGTTGGTGTTTGTGAGCGTTCGTGCGCATCGGTGTTGTAGGATGTTGTGGCACTATTTTTGATCTGCTCCTGCTCCTCCTCCTGCTGCTGGTGTCCTTGTTCTTGTTCTTGTTCTTGTTGTTGTTCTTGTTCTTGTTCTCGTTCTTGTTGTTGTTGTTGTCCTCCTCCTCCTCCTCCTTCTTCTTCTTCTTGTCGTCGTCATCTTGTTGTCGTCTCTTGTTTATGCTGCTGCTGGCGGCGACGGCCACACCCTCAAATCTGCTTCAAATCTAAGTACACCCCAAACTTGGGATACAATATACTCAGAACATCTCAGAACTTGAACAGCAATGAAGCAAGTTCTCTCCTGCGACAGCCGCAAATATCGAATGCGATCTTTCAGGCTGTAGAACTGGCCAGGGTGATTCAGTGCATAAAGGCACACAGTGATAGTGACGAAAGGCACCCCTCCTTCACAAGGGAGCCTGAAACTGCTGGCTGCGTTTTGCTGACTAGGTGAAGCTGGAGCAAAAGCGGGTCAGGCACCTGCGGACTCTCCACCAGTCGTTGCAGCTGTGCCCACTCGGGTCTCACTTGACCATGGTGATGGTGGTACCTCACACAATGCACCAGCTGGGCTATGGCCGGCTATGGCGGCGGTTGTCATTTTCCTGATCCTCGCTTTTTCAAGCCTTGTCATGTGTCCATCAGGTTGCTTCTTGAAGCCTCTCTTTGATTTCAAGACGAATGCAATCCACCTGCCTACACATCTGATAAAGGGATATTGATCTTGGGGTCACCGATGGTCACCAAGCATGAGCGATAGACAATCAGCCGCTGGGCACTTCCAAAGAAGCTCAGCGGCTACTCGGCTTGTGTTGGCCCGTGGCTGCAGGATCTGGAGACATGCGAGGATGAAAAAGCATGAAACAGCACATGACCGTGACCATGTGGAGGTGCTGGCATCGGCATGTGCAGGAGATCTTGGAAACGTCAGAAGGCTGGAAACTCAATGAAGCTATATCAAAACAGTCTCAAACAGAATGTGTCTTACCAAGGAATGCACCAAGTCAGTCCCTTCAGTCAAGGAGTGCAAGCTCCAGCGTCCACAAACATCATACAAAGCATCATACAAACCGTCATGAATCATGAGGCATAGGCAGCTGAGCAATAGTCATCAATTGGGATGAAGCCAACTTTAGCCCGCCTCCCCCCAAGCCACGGCATTGCCAGAGATCATGAGATCTAAAAGCCCATGGAGGCGTGGAGTGCTCAGCCTTGGCTTCAGGCAAGCTCATCCAAACTCAAGAGGTCTTGACATCTTGAAGATCTTGAGTTTCCTCCAGGATTGGCAAGCTGCTTTGAAAGAGCTAAGGCTTGCAAAGACTCTCTGCACAAATGCAATCGTCCAAAGGCAAACTTTGCCAGTCATCGCGGATAGCCTGTCTTTGTGCGTTTTGCTCCCAATACATTGAAGGCTCCGGCAAGTGGTCCACGACCAAGTGGTGCACTGGGGCCTGCATTGTGGCAGCCCAGCAATGTTATGTGAAAGTGTCTCAACTGAGAAGCCAAATTCAGCCGAGGTTCACCAAAAAGGAAGGACATGGACCGTGTGACACATGTCAACATAGACCTATGATCCATAGCTACCCTTCGAGCTACAGGGAAATAGTCCATCGCGACTCTCCCTCAGATTCAGTATATTCAGTATGGATCAGAATGGGACCAATAAGGGAGAAAACCTACACATGCGAGGTTCTTCAACACATTTTGAAACCAAACGGAACGAGCATGATCAGGCATTTTGTTTCACTGTCATGTTTTAAAACTGATAAATTGAGTTTGAATTCACCTGCTGTGCCAATAAGATTCGATTCCCCGGAACCATAGTCCTGTTTTCAACTTCGACCCCACTCTTCCAAATCTTCCAAGCTGTTCTCCTGCGACTTCTCATGTCCGCGCCAGGATTGTGTCCTGCTTGGGAGCCATCAAAACGATTCAATGGCTACCGGACATTGTGACATTCTTCGGCTCAACAAACCGTGAAACATCCAAAAGTCTTGCTGGTCTAAGCACAATGGTCCGAATCTTGCATATGTCCAGACTCTAGACAGAAAATATATATGCAGAAGATTGCTGAATTTGACACGCATTTGGATACACGTTGACTGTCACTCCTTTGCAAAAAGCTTTCGAGTATTCTTGCCAGCTCGGAGTTCTCAAGGCCTCAAAGGATGTGTTTGCTCTTGTCGTGAAGATACAGTATATATATATAGTCCTCCGGACGAATCGAATTGTTATGTGAATCAATATTCAACAAATCCAAAAATATGTGTTAGATATATAAACATCAATACTACAGTGTATATACACTATTATTACATATTGCTACTATTACTATTACTACTACTATATATATTACTATTGCTATTGCTATTACTATTGCTGTACATTCCTACTACTATATATTATATATATATTATATGTTTCAATATATTATCTCCAGAAGGGGTGGCCATGGGGCCTGGGTTTTGGAATTCTGTATTTGTAGATAGAGAGAGCAGGAACAGATTATGTGTGTTTATATGGAGAGCGGCTGCACTGAAGCATTTACCTACATTTTTTGGAAAACCAAAACCCAGGCCCCATGACCACCCGCCATGGGGCCTGGGTTTTGGTTTTCCATACATTTTCATAAATATTAGGTAAATGCATCAGTGCCACAATCAAAACCAAAAAACACTGATAAATATGCATAAAGGATAAACAAACACATAAGAAAAAACAAAAAGAACTAAAAACCATGGGAAAACGGACTCCCCAAAATCAGAAAAACCAAAAAACCAAAAAAACATTGGGAAAACCAACAAAACCAAAAAAAACAAAAAAACAATTCTCAGAGACTCTTGGCTGGACCCCCTTTTCCTCAAGACTTCCCCAGAATTGTTTTTTTTGTTTTTTTTGGTTTTCCCAAGGTTTTTTGGTTTTCTGATTCTTCTGATTTTGGGGGGTCCAAGCAAGAGTCTCTCAGAATTGTTTTTGTGTTTTTTGTGTTTTCTCAAGGTTTTTTGGTTTAGCATCTGAACTTACTTCTCACCTCAAGGCATCTGTTCTTTTCTTCTGGTATAGATAATATTTCGATATTACTATCATACGAGTTAATTGGTATTATCAGTTATTATAATCATTATTAATACAATTTGTCAGCCTGTTCCCTCGTAGAGTAAACCGGGGACTCCATTCACCAACCATCCGTACAAGGATTACAAATTCAACGGAAAGAAACAACACTTCTGTGCGGGTCAAGGAGCGCCTGCGGCGAATTGAAGGAATAAAACGAAAACTGTTCTTGTTCACAATTAATCAACATCAGCATGGCGTCTTGGTTGGAAGTCTGTCGCAATCACGAATCGAACGTCAATGGAAAGAACACATTGTGGTTTCTTCCATCGTCTCCTGAAAAGGCCAAGGGGCCAAGTTAAGACAAAACTCATTGACATGAAGGAAGTCCAAATGTCCAACCAAGTAAAACACGTGCATCATTACGCGCGGCGCTTCTGGCATGCACGGTTGCATGTTCGTGCATAGCGCAGCGCTCCCACTTCAAGCAGTGGGCCGCATGTTTGTGCACCGCAAAGCAGTGGCTCGCATGCTCGTGCATTTGTCGAATACTCGCAGTTAGTGAATCGCATGCTCGTACATCGTGAAGCAGTGCCTCAAACGTTCGTGCAACACGAAACAATGTGCTCGTGCAACTGCAAACCGTCTCTATGTTGATTGCAACTGCGTTGATTGCGAACCACAGTGCAAACCACCAACCCCCCACCCCCCCCCCCCCCCCCCAACCCAACACGCACTCCCGCCACCGGAACCCCGAAACAATCAGGAAGACACAGTGGTGCCCCCAAAATGGCATCGTGTCCGAAACCCTGTGAATTCCTGTCAGAAATCGGAGGCGGCCCTCCTAGTAACGGAACCAAAACCAAAGTTTGGGGTCTTCTTGGGGTGTTCCCCATGGTTGTCTGCTTTCGTTTTTGCATGTTTTCCTGAGGATCGGGCGAATGGCATCCAGCACTGTGGCAACGAGATCACGTGCTTGGTTCAGAACCTGCTGCTGAGTGAATTCGAGGCTGTGCCTGCTGTACTCTGGTTGGAGGCAGTTGGAGGTATCCACCCTGGCGTTGGTAGTGAGCTGGTAGGTAAACCCGCAAAATCGCTGGTCTGAGACGAAGACAAAGGATGTAAACCAACGAGAGCGCAAACCAAAACGAAAATGGATGCATCGTTCTTGAATTGAGAAATGACTGCAGATCACACCAAAAAGAACGTGAGAACCATTCAGTCTGAGTTATTCCCCCCCCAACCCCCCCTCCGGCCCCATGCCATCCTCTTTGAACATGACAGAACAACCAGGTTCTTCAAAAAAGCTACCGCCAGCAACTCCAGCAACTATATGGCTGTGAGTCAAAACATGTTCCACCAAACTATTGAAGGTTGACATCCCTTAAAGAGGAATCTGTTCATTTTCGGTGGTCAACCAGGCCGCCCGGGTTTTGACCAACAGCCATACGATGCCATATGCCCATTATGGACCTTCTTCCCTCAGGCCCCGACATTCTCTGTGTCGGGAAGAGCGAAAATCTTCTCAGCGCAAAGCCGCATTGCGGCGGCTGCATCCTGGTTTGATACGAGCAACAAATCGGATGTCTCTACCTTGTATGAACTCCAGCAAAGATACACACAGTGGGACCGCGTGCGCACACGCACGCCTCTTTGTTGTGCTAGAGAAACTAATTGAATCTTCTGGAATTCATACACTGCCCTTTGCTCCTTATTGGCATCCGTCACCAATTATACACCCGAATGAACAGCGTGTGCCTCTGCTGCCAGGATCCAAAGGCCCTCCACCGCCTCTGCAGGCAAAGCACCTGCATACCTCAGTGCTCAGACGGGAATTTTGCTGGATTCTCCCATGCGAGGCTGCAAGGCTTAGGATCATCCCACTTGTATATATATATATACATATATATATATATATCAAAAAACCTTATTTGGCCAGTTGCATGTGCAAAGTTTTAATTGGAACAAGCAGCAGAATAACTACCTTCTCACTTAAAGCTAGGTGTCACACCGAAATCAGAGTCGATCAAACAGTAAGGCACTTGTTTCTAATAGCTTCTTGTTTCTACTAGTAAGGCACTTGTTACTACTAGCGATGCACCTGTTATATACTAGTAGCTTCCTACCCCCCCAATGGGAGCTCAGTGCTGAAATAATTCGGGCCCTTCCCTCCCAGCTTTGCCCCCGCACCTCTGCAAGACAGACACCACTGCAGGTCTGGACCTGAATGGTGCAGGCGCATGCAGGTGCTAAATTCACAAGTTCTTGGGAATAGATCTTTTGAAACCTCGTAGATTGTTGTAAATTTGTAAATATTTGCAAACAAGCAAGCCACTGTTTGAACTGAGATGAAAAGTGGCCAACAAAGGCAAGTCAAGAACAATAATGATGCAAGTCTATGGTAATGTCATGTAACATTTAATAAATAAGGCACCCCTGGGATTCCAACGCATCCTTAGTGCACCTCCCCACATCGATCTGAGCAAGTCAAAGCCAGTCAGCAGAATCAACCGGATGTGAATTCTGAGTTTGGCTCTGGTGGCACAACCGGAAATGCATGAAGAATCATCAGTTACACAGGACGCAAGATCCATATATTACACAACAGCAGTTTAGGGATCTAATTAGGGAACACAAATCGGAATGATCTTGAAGCGAAGGCCTTGGAGAAAATGCTCGGGCAGCGTTCCTGCATTCCCAAAATTCCGTTTGATTCCGTGATTGGTGCATGGCATTGCAACCCTTGATGATCCTTGATGTATAGAGCTTAGCCTTTGAGTTTCTTTACATCTGTCACTGATGAGTAGAGTGCAACACATCTTCTGACGTCAACAACTCTTGAAACTCAAAACTGCCCTGCATGAACACACTAAAGCCAAAGCTGCTGCACATCTTTTGACTGAAAACGATGCATGGCATTGCACTGTACACGGGTTGCTACGACAATTCAACCGCAACCCATCTTTGTGGGACTCGGCAACAAGAGTTTAGAAGCAACCAAACAATCGATGTAGAGTTGCGCTTTCCTCATGCCAGCATCAGGCTGGTTCCTCGACAGTGCCATGCTCCTGACCAACTGGCCATTCAATGCCCAACTTCACAGCCTCTTCGATCAACTCCGTTAGAAATTGCGAGGCATCACTCCTGACCTTGGCTTCAAGGGCCAATTGTTGAAGACTTGTGCTCCGTGCACTGGGCTACTTTGCTTCATCAGCTAGCTTGGCACCGTGCGTTCTTCCAACGAACAACTACACAAAACTACAAGGTTTCTCAGAGAAGGGCCAGCGGGCCATTCATGCGGTCTCTTTGTCCGGTGGGGGGAAGTCCAAACGAACGCACCGACGACAAACTGCTGTTGGTTGGACCCAAGTTACTTGCCCTGAGTGTAGCTTGGACAGTTGGTGGGAAAGCCCTACCCGCCAGCGTAGGGCTTGCGAAGGAAAGGACTCCATGTGCACCTCAACACCACCCGAGCCTTGCTGCGTTGGATAGAAGCCACCTTGGATCATTGTTTTGAGGATTGCCAGGAGGTTGCGCGATTGGATTGACAAACTTTCCACACAACTGGCGACATGGCAATGTCAAGCGCGGTGGGGGGTCAAACAAATAGATGTCTTTTTTCAAGTAGACAACGTATGTTTGCTCTAAAGTGAGGGTAGGCCATGAGAGGAGCTAGGTAGTAACCTGAGTACTAGCGAGATAATATTAAGTTCTAGCGAGGGCGCAGTGGAGCTCAGGTTCTTCAAGGCGAGAGAAGGTTCTCCACGAAGATTAATCTTGAATCTGGTTCCAAACAAATAACACGTTTCCATACAGCTCCTGGATTTTGTAACTTCATGATCTTCATGTTCACAAATGTAGGCTGTATGATGTCTGACTTTGTCTTCGCCTCCTTGGGTCGAGGGACAGGTGACCGGGTCCCGCCAGGTCTCTGGATGAGACATAACATAGTTCCTGGTCGCGGAAACCACTCGATCCACTGGATCCGAGGGCCTGTGGCCCCCAAAGGTTCTCTTCCCTCTTCCAAAGTTCCTAGTAGCTTCTGGTTACAGTAGCGATGCCCTTGTTATATACTAGTAGCTAAGACATAATTTAAAAAAAAATATATAAAAGAAACCTCCTGGTTAATCCGAGCCTGCAAGACTCGGAAAATTGCACAAATTAAAGTATTATTGGTGGCCAGTTTCCCCCTGAATCACTTAGTTGGGCACTAGAACCCCCCTGTTGATCCGAGCCACACAACCAGGTCATGTTTACTACAACGGCGACTATCAAGCGGCAAAGTAGACTATCAAGCAGCAAACCTGTCAATCTTGAGACGAGGAAGAGGTTGAAGATGAATTTGCACTACTACTACTACTACTACTACTCTTACTACTTACTACTTACTACCTACTACTTACTACTTACTACCTACTACTTTCTACTTACTACATACTACTTACTACTTACTACTACTACTTACTACTTACTACTTACTACTTACTACCTACTACTACTACTACTACCACTACCACTACCACAACAACAACAACAACAACTACTACTACTACTACTACTTGCTACTTGCTACTTGCTACTTGCTACTTACTACTTACTACTTACTACTTACTACTACTACTACTACTGCTGCTACTACTACTGCTACTACTACTACTACTACGACTACTACCACTACTACCACCTACTACCACCTACTACCACCTACTACCACCTACTACCACCTGCTACCACTTACTTCCACTTACTACCACTTACTACCACTTACTACCACTTACTACCAACCACCACCACGACCACCACCACGACCACCACCACGACCACTACCACTACCACTACCGCCACGACCACCACCATGACCACTACTACTATCTACTACTACCACTACCACTACCACTACGACTACGACTACTGCTGCTGCTGCTGCTGCTACTGCTACTGCTACTGCTACTACTACTACTACTGCTACTACTACTACTGCTACTACTACTGCTGCTCCCTTCTTAGCCGATGATTCAAAGGGGTGCAGCAAGTCTAATCAATCGCCCAGTGGACTCAAGCAGGTCTGTCCTGGCTGCCACTGTCAGCGCTTTGAAGATCTCCTTTCGTGCAAATGTCCTTATGGAGCGACAGTCCATGCCACACGACCCAGTGCCACAGTGTCACACGAAAAACTGAGCTTGACATTTTTTAAGATTCAATTACACCAGCATAGACCCAGATAGCTAGGCAGAATCCCACGACCTGTTGACATGCGACTGGCTGGAACAAGAATGTACGCAGCCTGCGCAGCCAGCTTACGACACCTCGCACAATCAGCTGACACCAGCGCCCGACCAGCGCCGCCGCCCGTCTTAAACGCGCGCTCAGCCAGCTCACAGCACCAGCACCCAGGACCACAACACCAGCACCAGCACCGACACCCTTTTGAAAGCGCGCGCAGCCAGCTCATTCTTATTTGCAACAACAACCCCATAGCTATCCCTACTTGGGGAATAACAACGTATGATCTTGCGCGTATAAGTTTATGCGCACAAAAGTACGGGCGCGAACAGCAAAGCCCGTAAGTGTCATTGGCCCAACGACCTGCAGAACGATAAGGCCGTATGATCTTGCGCGTATAGGTTTATGCGCTTCACTCGCCCAAGGCCAAGCAGTATCCAGCACGACTATTGTGTGTGTGTAGCGTGCTGAAACATGCTGGTACAATGGTCGGTTGAGAGCCTGACGCATAGAACATTATACGTACAAAAGCATGCGCGCAAACAGTACAGCCCTTGACACAGCTGTCGGCCAAAACAGAACCTGAAGGGTGTAATCACCCCACAGCGCTAATAGACAAAGAACGCTCAAGCGACAACACCGTATGATGTTTCGTGCGCAAGTTCATGCGGCCCATGACTGCACCGGCGCGCCAGCTTACGGCGCCCAGCACCAGCACCCAGCACCGGTGTAGCACCAAGCACAGCACCGGCGCCCAGTCACCACCACGCACACTGCCAGCTCACAGCACCGGCACCGGCGCCCGCTGTCTCTACCATGCGCACTGCCAGCACCCAGCACCGGCACCGTGTCTCCACCACGCGCGCAGCCAGCTCACCCAGCACCACAGCCCGCACCAGCACCCGGCACCGGCACCCTGTTTCCACCGCCCACCAGCACCGGCAACCTGTCTCGAAAGCGCGCGCAGGCAGCTCATTGTTATTTGAAGTAAGAATCCCATAGCTTCGCTATCTGGGCAAAAAGGATCCCCACATATATGCAAGCTACACCACCAGCACCAGCACCGGCGCCCAGCACCAGCACCAGCAGCACCGGCACCCGGCACCAGCACCAGCAGCACCGGCACCCGGCACCAGCACCAGCACCAGCAACCTGTCTCCACCACGTGCACAGCTAGCTCATAGCACCAGCACCAGCACCGGCACCCGGCACCCAGCGCCAGCACCGGCGCCCGACACCAGCACCAGCAACCTGTCTCCACCACGCGCACAGCCAGCTCACGGCACCAGCACCAGCAACCTGCCTCCACCACGTGCACAGCCAGCTCAGCACCAGCACCAGCGCCGGCGCCCAGCACCACCACCAGCACCAGCAACCTGGCTCCACCACGTGCACAGCCACCGCACCCGACACCCAGCACCAGCACCAGCAACCGGTCTCCACCACGTGCACAGCACCAGCACCAGCACGGCACCAGCACCGGCACCAGCACCGGCACCCGGCAACAGCACCAGCAACCTGTCTCCACCACGTGCAGCCAGCTCACAGCACCATGCACCGGCACCTGGCACCCAGCACCAGCACCGGCACCCGGCACCAGCGCCATCAACCTGTCTCCACCACGTGCACAGCCAACTCACAGCACCAGCACCAGCACCAGCACCCGGCACCACCACCAGCAACCTGTCTCCACCACGTGCACAGCCAGCTCACAGCACCAGCACCGACACCCAGCACCAGCAACCTGTCTCGAAAGCGCGCACGGGCAACTCACTATTATCTGAAGTAAGAACCCCATAGCTTCGCTATCTGGGGAAAAAGGCTGCTATTCTCATCTAGATCGAACAAATCGAATTTGCATATAAGATGGTTCCAAACAAGGCAAAGGAAAGAAGTTGCGCGACACCTATTTGAAGTGTTTTGGTCCTGGTATTATTTGGTAATATTTGGTATGTAAAGCACTACCTGGACGCAGGCTTGCCAGATCTGGACGCTCCCAACCTCAAAACCGGAGACCTTCTAGCCTCAAAAAGGAACAGCTCAACAAACGCACAGCGTCAAGGGAATCATCAGGGTGATGGCCACATAGGCGGGCCCAGAGCGGCGGAGGTTGATGATCCCATCGCCAGCATACAAGGCTGCATTGCGAATGTAGATCTCCTCCAAGTCAAGTGAAAAAAGCTGCGAAGCAAAGCATGCCAATAAAGGATTGAATATCTGCTCATATCTGCAAATGGAGCGGCTCACACTGCCACACACACACATTGAAATACTGAGCTATAGCCAAAAGTGTCTCGATGACAAAACTTGGCAACTCGGAAACCTATATAAGCCATTATAAGCTATCCCAATTTGTTGAAAACACACCTAGTCGATAAGCACTTCATAGAAGAGTTTCGATTGGGTACCGAAGGTGTCTGCTACCTGCAGTATACCCCGAAACTGCAGAAGCGTTCAACGGTTCACTTGCCAGTGTCCTCATCATAGACGTCCCGGAAAACAGTGTTCAGCAGCTTGATATGTGCCACAGTGAGGATCTGTCCTGAAAAGTTGACTGGAACAGCCAGAGAGTCATCCGGAAGGCTCTGAGAAGGTTAGCGTGTCCCACCTGAAAATAGTCATTGTGGTTGTGGTTGCTAGTAGCTTCTTGTTACTGGTAGTAATGCATTTGTTACTAGTAGCGATGCACTTGTTACTAGTAGGTTCTTGTGGTATGGCCCGATCCGACAGATCCAATGAACTACTTCTATCACTTCTGCTTCTGAACTTCCTATGAACCCTCAAGCTCGATGCCTCAGGATGCAACATACAAAAGGTACCTTCAACTTGGACTTACTGCCTTGCAGACTCAACCAGTCCCAAACCGCCCTATCCGGCGCCGCACTTGCAAAGGCATTTAGTCAACCAACTACATCGGAAAGTGATTTTGCTAAGTACAAACACAGTGTAACAAGTTCTATTGTTCCCTTGGTGGCCGAGGCTATATCATATCGTACTATACATTTGCTAGCTGCTAAACACCGTAAATATTTTGGCTCATGGACCGATGGACACTTGGTCGCTGAACAAAGAAACTTGTTCCTCTCACGCATGGCAGTGGCTGGCCAACCGCTGAGCCAAGCAACCACGAAAAACAATGCGGTCCCCAGTGTCGAAGGGGCACACATGGAGCAGCAAAACCAGTGACTGCATCACGTCCAGCAATACAGGTCCCCATGCGAATGAAACAGCAAGCAGCACCTCAAGCTGGGGCTCGGCAACTCATTTGTACCAACCCCAACCTCGCATGAATTGCCTCAAAAAATCCTTGAATCCTCGAGTCACGACAAACTATATAGTGGCCATGCTGCACAGGTGGTACATATGGCCTAAATCTTGACTGCCTAGAACAACCTTGAAAATGCAAAAAGTACAAAGAAATGACCTTGTTGCCTTCCGTCATTGACAGCGAACTTCAGAGGACAAGACGCAGAGGAAATTAGCCAGGACAGCGTCTGCATCAAGGATGTCGGAGCAAAGCGACCGAGGGCGGCCATGGAGACCAACAGCACTCGACAGAGGCGCAGCACACTGCAAAAAAGCCTCAGTTTGGGAGTGTCACGGGCCCGAAGGGCCGCTGTGGGATAACCCGAGACAAGTACTGCTTGCAAAAGGCTGGCCGTTGAAATGGAAACACAAGTCATACTCGGGTGGTCTTTGGAAACACAAGCAAGTGGTGTGGCAACAGGGTCACTCGAAGTTACGAGAGATCGGTTGTCCGCGGCCCTCGCTTCGTAGAAGTCGTAGAAGACTACAGCGCCGCCTCTTCTCTCTCATTTGACTATTATCGATATAGAAACTACACTATGCATCACTCGTTGCCCACCTTCCATGTGAGGAGGAATAGTAACAGGCAAATGCAAAACAACAATGTTGCATCACTTTGCCAACCACAGTAAAGTGAAAAATGGCTGAAGGTTGCTATATACTTCATATATATAAGTTATAAATCTATTTGTCCTTTCTTTTTGTGGTGGGCATAAGGCATAATTAAGTCACACGACTCCGACTCCAGAGTCTTTGAAAATCACCGTCCAAGCAGCGCAAAAATCGCTGAGTGCTCCCCTACGTTTGACACCAATCGTGCAGCATCCTTGTATGTGGAGACCACCAGCTGCACAAAAGCATCCTGTCCAGTCTCAGGAAAGAAACCCATGAGCCCACTCCAAATAAGTCAAAGGCACTGGTCTAGAGTCTAGTGTGCTTCCTTACAAAAGTCTCTCCAAAACCAAGGTTCCAAGCTACTCTTACCGGAACAAAAGAAATACATCATCTGCTGCTGAAACTGAATGAACATGAGTCAAAACTACAGTGTTTTACAGCGCTTGTTGTGCAAAAAAAACACCTCCAAGACCAGTCCTGGAGGGATGGCAAAACCAACAACTAAACTTAACTAAACAATTATTGCGTTCGAACAAAAAAGGGTATGCCGCAAAGCCGATTGAGACAGAATACAGCCTCAACCGAAACTTTGTCACTTGTGTTTCGGATTGCTTTTAGCCCTTGGCCTATTTTGTCCAAAACATCTGTTTGGGCCTTGTGTGGTTTCTGGCTTGTTTTACTCTGGGTCTTCTCGCGCGTTTCTTCGCATGTTCTATTGCAGAAAGTCTGCTATACAATGGCGTAAGTACTCGATACAGAACCGTCGTACAAACCCTTGTCATGCATGTAGGCGTGTGAATGCCAAAACAAGACTTAGAAGAGCAGAACGAAGAATCCAAAAGTCATCAGTCACCAATCTCTTCCTTTCTCAAGTCTAGTCCTTTTAGAAAGTGTTGCCAGTGTTCCATTGAAGAGGTATCCTCCTTCAACAAACCTACCCTACTCCTTTGTGAATGCCTCATCCTGTATTGCAGTGTTGTCGCCCTGTGTAAGGGCATCATCCTTGGTGAAATATCTCTTCTTTTAAAGTTAAAAGTCTGACATTTGTGAAATTGATTCTCCCCCCTGTGCAAAAGACAGCTTCCTTTGCAAGGCATCATCTTTGTAGAAAGTTGAATTGAGAAGCTCAATTTGTTGTCACTTTATTTGAAGGCTCTCATCATCTGCAACTCTATTCTATTCGCTTTTAAGTCTCTTCCCAAATCTCCTATGACAACATGCTGCTAACGTAGCAATACGTATTTCACGTACTTCACGGCCCTTCACGGCCCTCAAACGTAGGTAAATATACATGTCTGATATCTGTAGCGGCTATAGACTTTTAAAGACACGTCTTCTTTGGAATGTCTCAAAAACATTCAAAAATTAATATATATATATAGTCTCTTTCTAAAGGCCGTTTGTTAAATAGTGTCTCAGTTGTTTAACCCTTCTCTGTCAAGTCACATCCCTTTAAGGCCCTCATTCATTGCATCCTTCTCTTCAAAAGCCTTTCTCTTTACACACAGTTGTGACCCTTGGTTGAAGCCCATCGACTCGATGAATCTGCCTCGCCCACACTGATCTCTATATGACCGCTCGACTTGGTGTGGGCCAGCTTCCCATGTGATTTCGGTGTGGCCTCCTTGGCAAAGTTCTGGCTGTGGCAACGTCAGTCCCAGGGCAACATTTCGAAGGAGCTCATTGTAACTTGCAGCTTACAACAGCTAGTGAGAGATGCTTCTAGTGATCTTTGGTGGCCTCAAGAAAGGAGAACTCTTATGAGGTAAAACAAGTTTAAGTTCTCCAAAGACCTGGGAACCAAAACAATCATATGGAAGGGTTCTTCTTCTGCGTCCTCTACGCGTAGCAGCTTACCTGGCTTACCTTCTCTCTTACCTTCTCTTGCCGACCTCTGCCCCACTCAAGAGTCGTTGCAGACTTGCTGCGTCCAGTGGGGCCGTGTTGGCGCGAGACAGCGCTCGATGTGGCCGTGGCTTTTTGAAATTGGCCTGAGGGCCGTGGCTTGGAGCTCGAAAAGCAGCTAGGAACAAAGGGCATCGCTACTAGTAGCAAGAAGCTACTAGTAACAAAGGGCATCGCTATTAGCAGCAAGAACGCTACTAGTAGCTGTGACTCCATTCTTACAGTATCTATCAGTATGTATCCGTTGCTCTTGGAACCAAAAATGCCAAGAATGTCGCTTCACATTGTCATGCGAGTGCCTGTGCACCTCTCAGAGATCCATCAACACCAGGAACTTCTGGCCGCTGTCACACTAGCTGCACTAGCTCATTCAACTGATTCCCTGGAAAGGTCCGAATGTCAATTGACTTCTAGATTTGGAAAGACTTATCATTGTGAGGATGATCATACCGTTTATGCTAGTGATGGAATTGCTATGCGGCCAAAGACATGTCAAGTCAAGTCGTTAATTACTGTGTTTGGATGTGGACCACCATGCAAGACATTTGTATTTATTGGCAATTCTGCCGAGCTGCTGGTACATCCAGTGCTTCCAGGAGCTGCCAGAATCTTTCACTCTCCTTGGTGCTGCAAAGACTGGAGCCTTGTACTTGCCGCAACACCAGAGTCCTTACCGGGTTACACAAAGCACCCCCAAAAACAACAGTTCTCCTTTCATTTATGAGGTCTTCTGGCAGCAAATACACAGGCAAACCCCTCAGTCATGAAATGTATATAGATGCGGAGTTGCCAATGTTGGAGTGGTGGTCATTGTCCCAGCCATACTGGAAATTTGGATACATTTAGTCTCCTTTGCTGCACAAAACGACACCAACGCTCCCTCTGGGCCAAAAACGGACAATCCCGGCAAGAATCTGTCGCATCTTGCAGCTTGGAGCACAACCTTGCAAGATAAACAGGCATGTTCTACAAGAACCATCAAGAACCCTCAAGGTTTATTAGTCCGGTTGCCAAAAACTCAAACTCATGGCTTAAAACAATCACCAGAAGGTACATCTCTGCAAACTGAGGCGAGCGCGTCGCGTAGCTCAAGCGCCCTTCTGGCACCAGACGTTTGAAGAGAGCTGCGGCACCCTTGGCTACCATCCTGCAGCCACGGCTGTTCTATATTGATGGTGGTTAGAAGTTGGTTATTCAACTATCTATATCACTATATTGTGTGTGATGATGCTTGTATCACTTAAGAGTCCGGATGTCAATGCGCCATGTACAAGATTCAACTGAGTTCTGATAATGCTGATAATGTCTGATATGTGTTTTCCCGAATGCGTAGCAAAGGGTTCTTGTTTAACTCTGGGGGCCCGGGGGTCTGGGGGTAGAGCCTTGTTCACGACCCGTTGTCTCAGCGTTCGCAACCGTCCCCAACCGACCGCCCCGTCCGCAGCAGAGCGCTAAGGCCACTGCCATTGGGGGAAGCTTTTGGAGAGGGTTTCGGATGGAAACGTGACGTGTCAGATTCGTGCGAAATAGCGTGGAAACGTATGGATACGTAAGATGTTGAAGTGTGCATGGAGGATGATTTCACTGCGCAGGCGCAGCGCTTTGTGAGATGGGCAGTTTTCTGCGCAGTCACATTGGGATTGGCGTTTGGAGAGTGGTGTTTTTGGGGTGTTGGATGTGGCTTTGACGTTGGGGTTTGCGTTTCAGGGCGTTGCGTCGAAGCTCTGTTTTCGTGACAAGTCTCAGCTGAAATGGCGGTACGGGTGGAAATCATTCCAAACGTGTGGTGTGGTGCACATTTTGTTGAAGCTCGCAGAACTTTGTCCCGGGTTTGAGGTATGGAAGCGCGATTTTCGCGGCAGGCGCAGGGAATCGTGAAGTTGCGAGGTGTGACGGAGGTGACATTTCGTGGCAGGAGCAGTACTTTGGGCGCGTTAGACGTGTGGACGCGGAAAGCTTCGTGGCAGGCGCAGGGAATCGTGAGGTTGTGAGTTGCGGTGGAAGTAAATGTCGCCCCGACATTGGGATTGGCGTGCGCGCGGGTGTTGTTTGGAGGGGCTGGAATCGCGCAACTGCTTCGCAGGGCTGCTTGATGTGTGTGTGTCAAACCCCGTTTCCAGGGGCACTACTCTCTACTAATTCTCCTTCCTTTCATTGTCAATGTACAGTTTGCAACAGCAGGGGGCCCATGGGCACATGGATGGCATGGGCCAACGAAGACCCATCCATGTTGCCGTGAAAACGTACCTGCACAACTTTTTTGACATATTTTAAAGAGCTACTTTGAAGCTGCTGGTTTTGCTAATGTGTTACACATGTTACAACCATTGCTAAGTGTTTCATAAGGACTTACAAGACAGTTATAACTATTTATAACTACTTATAAGTGTCATAACACTATTATAACATGTCTATTTGTTAACAACATTATCTATTTCTTTTTAACTGTTATGTTAACATCTGTAACAAACATAAAAAATTATACGAGTTAGTAAACATTTAGCTTTTTTGATTTGTCTTGTTATGGCAATTGTGCAACGTTGTAAAACAATTTTTCAAGGACTGTTTTTCAAATATGTAGGATGTTTTTTTTTGAAACTTGTGTTGCCTTTGTTTGATGTATACCTTTGTGTTGCGCACAGCATATGAATGCTCAACTTGAAGAAACAGCTTGTACAAGCTTGAGGCTGCTTGTTGCCAGTATAGGCTCACTTTGGGTTGCCAGCCACTGCAGGCTCAATTTGCAACTAACTTTGTGTAATTGTTGTATAAGCTTGCTCACCATATCAGGGTCATGGCACAAGCTGAAGGCATTTTGCCACATGTGCTATGAACCAGCAGAACAAGTGTGCATGAAAACATGGAAGGGCAATGTTGGACAATGCATGGGCCATGTGTGCAAAATTTGCATGCCACTTGGAAAGTGATTTACTTGCTTGCCCATGTCGCTCCCATGGGTGGATGAGTTGAAGAAGATCATCAAAGATGAGGAGATGCAGATTAACCAGAAAGCCTCAAGAGCTATGAATGTGCTCAAGAGTGCAGGCTTGGCTTACAATGCCAAGCTGAGGCCCAATCAGATCCTGGTTCATGTTGCCAACCGGGGTGGTCAAATGGTTAACCCCCATGATGTGGTAGCCAAAGGCCAGCAGATCTCAGCTGTTGGATGGGACTTGAACAAGGTTCGGCAATCTGTGGCAATTGAACTGCCTCATGATGGGGACAAGAGAAGTGCAGTGATTGCAGCAAATGAAAAACTGGCTGACCAAAGCTCAGGCATGTTGGCAAGACCTTTTGGAGAAGAGCGGTATTGCAGCCTGAGTTCTTCCCACTTGACAGCATTCCTGAGGTGCTTGGAAAGTGGCTGCAGGATGGGCAATGACCAGCTGTCCATGGAGCAGCTCATGGCACAAGGAGGCGACCTACAGGAGATGGTGCAAAGTGGATGGCAGTGGACAATTATTTCAGCCAAGGCTGAGGAAGAGTGTCCATCTCTTCCTGGTTTGCTTCAGCAGGCCTACAACAGCCACTTGGTTGGTAAGTGCATTTTTATGAAAACCTCCTTGCTGTGGCCACCAAAGCAATGTGACCATGTGTGGAGTTCTCAATGTATGCATGGCACCATCCACAGGTGACCATGGTATTGTGAAGCCTCCTACAGAATTGGAGGTTGCCATGACCATTGCGCAGCACTATGAGCTACAAGCTCCTGGGCAGAAAGACTTGGACAAAGCTGTGCAGCAGGCAGCCTCCAGCTTTCCACCTTGCAAGGCCTACATCAAATGCATTGGTGACTTTGTTTCCAGGTTTGCTGGAGGAGAGAGCTTCAAGCTGCTGAAATATCTTGATTTCATTTGCTTCTCTGCTGCACATGCAGGTCTATAGCCCATTTCAGGCAAAGTTGGTTAGCTTCTACAAGCTTGGTTAGCTTCTACAAGCTTGGTTAACATGAAAAGCTATTACAAGCTTGCTGCATGTTGGTTGGAGGTGCTCATTGAAACTTGCACCCCTTGCATCCAAGGCAAGCAATATGGTGGCTCCAACATGCTGGGTGAAGAATTCTGTTCTGCAGTTGCCTACACAGATTGGAAGCTTAGTGGCACCACCCTACCCTTCTTGAGGGTGGCCTTATGTGCAGTGCAGATTACAGCGCCCCAGCAACAGGTGAGAAATTCAATTTCAAAAATGATCAGCAAAGCTGACATCGACAAGTTGAAGACCAAAAAGATCTGCACTGATGTGCAGACTGCAGAAGCTTTGATGGCCAGTGCCTGGGAAGCTACAGAGACCACTGGAGTGCCTCTGGAGCAATTTGCTTTGGCATTTGGCAAGATGCAAATCAGACTGATTTTGCATTTGCTTGGCAAGGAAATGAAGGGCAGGGAGCAAGTCCAGTATGACAGCATGACAGACATCAAGGACAAATTTGAAGCCGATATGCTGCAAACTTCTCACAGTGGCAAAAAGGATGCCAAACCAACAGCAGAGGCTGCATCGGTGAAGTCCTTGGCTGATGCTTCCAATCCAAGGAGCATAGCTCTTGACGTGCACCAGCACATCAAGATTGGCAAGCACTATGTTGCTTGCAAGGAAAGCATGTCCAAGGTTTGGCAGCTTGTGGATGTAATCTTGGTCCACAAGCCCTACTTCACTGGTGAAGAGCGCAAGGAAGTGAAGCTCTCTGAGTTGAAGACCTTGAAGGAATGGTCTAAGCCAGTGCCAATGCTTGTTGATGATTCAGTCAGGGCATCATTGCTTCCCAGTGCTTCAGCAACTTTGAAGTCTGAGCTGCTCAAGGCAAAGGCCCAAACTTCTCTGTATGAGAAATACTTTGAGTTTCTAGGCAAAGCCTTCTCACAGTTTTGATCTTTGGTTTCAAGGTCCAAGAGAAGTGTTCCTGACTATATAGTCTTCTCTGCTGGTTGCTGTCTTCACAAACTCAGGCTTGGCGATCCACAGGTGCTAGTCAGCACTATGCATGAGCTGTTTTCAGGATGCAAGTACAGCAAGGGCAAGCTGGTATTGCTTCCACTAGGTACCCTACAGCTGATGCCTGTTGAGAAGATTACAAAAAACCAGTGCACCATCAAAATTGCTCATGTAAAGGACCAAGTCTTTGTTGTGCAACCTTGGCGGGTTGACTTTGTCAAGGAGAGTGGCATGTTCAGCCCATATTGGCTGATGAAGGAGGCTGCTGAGATGGATGATGCATGCATGACCAAGCAAGTTTTGAAGATTGATGAGATTCTTGTCACAGCCTATGTGAACAAGAAGGTGGTTGAGAAAGGCACACCCTTGCTGATGGAGCCATCAGAGACCGATTCATCTAAGAAAAGGAAGACTGTCAAGAAGTGAACAGTCACCTGACCATGGTGTGAAAAAAAGGCTAAGTTGAACCAGCTTGCGCAAGCTTTCCCACTAACTAGAAGCAGCTTGTGCAAGCTTTCCCATTGCCTTTGCAGGCTATTTGTTGTGTTGTGAACCTTTTGTGGAATCAGCTTATACAAGCTTTCTCAGAAGCCATTGCAGGCTGTTTTGGTTTTGTTGTAGTTTGTGCCCTGAAGCCAAACAAGGTGCATGATAGGTTTTGGCTTCCAGCTTGTTTGTGTGTGCTGCTGCTATGGAAATTTATGAGACTGTGGTTCTGAGGTACAGGAATGGCCCCAAGATCACTGTGCCACCTGGTCTGCTTCAAGCTGACCCAGATGGAAAGAGATGGCTGAGATTGAGGGCCAGCAATGTCAACATTGCTAGGCTTGTTTTGGGCCACCTGGAAGCTGCCAAGAAGGCTCCAAACCCTAGTCTGGCAGCAAGCCCTCAGCTGAAGAGCATCCAGGACAAGATCAAAGAAGCTGTTCTGACCAAGCAGGAGGAGGACAATATTGAAGAACATGGAGCAAACCCATTTGATGATGGTGCAGAAGGGACACAATGTGTTGAACAAAGTGGCAAGACCTTGAGGCAAGCTTTGAAGAAGGCCCCAAGCACAGTGTCAATCCAGCTTGGAAGCTCATTAGTGGAGCTGAAGAGACCCCATACTTGGAAAGAGAGTGACATAGTGATTCCTTTGGAATCTTCTGCGTTGAAAGCAGTCCTTGATTACATAATGCTGGATGTGGATGACTGCATCAAGACTGAAAAGAAAAG